CAGGCGATCAAATACCACGGAAAGAAAGCTCTATTTGTTTGAAAAAAGACAGAAATTTCATTTATGTACTGTATTGCATGACCGTGCAATTGTCCGTTAAACTAGCGCAGAGCTGTATAGCAAAAAAGGTGTAAATTCCATTATCTATACCATAGTTTGTAGATGCTATAACTTTCACACAAAGCAATCAATATACACTTATTGGGATTTTTTTTATACCAAAAACGTAGCAGGATACATTTTGGCCTAAATTTATAACCAACTTTGCGTTTTACTATATATTTTATTTGTGGTCGTTTTTTTTTTATAGCGTGAAAAATAAATAAAAAGTGCACAGGTGATCAAATACCAGCAAAAGAAAGCTCTATTTGTGTGAAAAAGATGTAAATTTTGTTTGGGTACAGCATTGCATGACCACGCAATTATCAGTTGAATTAGTGCAGCGCCGAGTAGCAAAAAGGCCTGGACATTAAGGGGGGTAAATCCTCAGGAGGGCAAGTGGTTAATTACTTCTGTCCCTGCAGAGAGCCCCGCTATTATATGACATTAAAAAGTATTGCGGTTGCAACATTGTATCTATTTGTTTCCATTTCGGATACAGATGGGTTTTTTCGGATACAAATAGATACATTGTTGCAACCGCAATACTTTTTAATGTCAAATATAATAGCGGACTGGAATTCTCGTCCTCTTCGTCCTCGTCCTCTTCGTCCTTGTCACAGCTCATGCGCAGATTTTTATCGGTAAAAAGATCTGTTGATTTGCCCAACTTTACCGATCAAAAAAATCGGACAAAATCCAGAAAAACGGCTGACCAATTAACCGATTAACGGTGCGAAAATCAGCCTTTTTTTTTTTAAATTTTTTTTTTTCCTGGACGATTTTCGACCCATCTATGGCCTGCATTAGTCTGTTTCATGTATTGGTCAGAGATCTTGTTTTTGTTTTTATATATTTTTGCACAGTTACTTTGATGGCCTTCAGGTGTGGTAATGCAGCAGAAGAGGCTTCTGTCTTCAGTGTGGCAACAGAGGGCTCCTGCATAGCTTTGATGTGTCATCAGATATTTAACGCTTTAACTTTTTACATGGATTTGCCTTTACACATATTGCAGTTGGGTTATCCTTTTACCATAATAACTTATCTCAGGACTTCTGTATTTAGGTTCTGATATGACATAGCTTTAATACATTTTTATATAATGTTTTGTACTGCATGTCTGCACTTATTTTTGTTTACTTAGGTTTGTGTTGAAGCCAGTTACATTATGAGCCCTTGTCAGGACATGTCTTAGGACTCGTTCACACTTGAGTTTATTTCTAACTCTTGCCAAACACCGTTTTGACAGGCTTTAGGGCTTTTGGGGAGCGTTAAAAACACTTCCAAAACGCCTGTCTATGTGAGGGTTTTGAGGCGTTTGATAGGCATTTGCCAAGCGTTAAAACCGCACCACAAACACCTATAATCAAGTTAAATGGTATTAACGCTACGCAAACTCCTCGTAACCGTGTCCCAACCGCGTGGCAAACACCTGCCAGGCATTTGCGGAGCGGCACCATAGACTTTAATGGGAGGCTTCAACTCCTCCTGACTCGACATGAGGCGTCAGTTTTGCTGCAACGCTAACGCTTCAGTGTGAACAGCAGGGATAGTCCTACTTTTGCACATGTTTAGTTATTTAAATAATGCCTTCTACGACTTTGTAACATTTGTTTGGCAGAGTTGTGCAGCCAATTTTGTGTGTTTTTTAATAATATGACCTAAATGGCATGTGTAGTTCTTGTGTTCTTTTAGTGTTATCCATCTTAGACCACAGTTTTTAAACTTCTACATGACTTTCTTGTAGTGTATGTGTAATATATTTGGAACATTTACAGACTGTCCTGGATTGCTCTGCAGCACTAGTATAATGGTATAACCATTAACACTAGATCTTTTTACATGTGCTTTACTTATGAACACTAGTGGTCTCTTGTACCACAGTGGTTCCCTCTTCTTCATAGCTTCCTTTTGCACATGGGTTGAAATTTTGGTTTCTCCAATGTGTTGGGGCATTTTATGGAATGTCTTCTCTTTGTTTTGCTTCATATAGTATGGAGGTTTGTAGCAAATTTACATTTATAACCCTAAGTCCATTTTGCATGTCATGAGCTGTAATTATGCATTTTGGGTGGTGTCTACCCTGTATCCCAATGTTGTACGTCTTCCATGACTTCATGTGTAGATGGTGTGACCGCTTATATTGCTGCCTTTTTTTTTTTATGTAGTCTTTCCTTGTGTACAACAAATTGGTATGGGATATAACCATATTTTACATGTCGCAGGTTGTCTAGTTACATGGTAACCCGTGTGCATGTCTGGGGTATGTTGCAATTCTGTATTTTTGTGTCATTACAAACTTCATTTCAGGTTTGTGTCCTGGGCTTGGTTCGCACTACCGCAGCTTGGGATGTAGCTTGTGAGGCCCCGGGTTGTATGGCATGTGGGGTCCTATGCTGGTTGGTTGGAGCGGTCTTATTTAGCTCTACTGTATTTGCTATGACTTTGGAGGGGGTTCCTGTACTACTTCAGAGCTGCTTGGCCATGGAAACCCACTGTTGTGCTAATCTGAAGGCCACATGAAGTTTGGAAGTCTTTTAGCTACTGACTCATCAGATACAGTGGGGCAAAAAAAGTATTTAGTCAGCCACCAATTGTGCAAGTTCTCCCACTTAAAAAGATGAGAGAGGCCTGTAATTGGCATCATAGGTAGACCTCAACTATGAGAGACAAAATGAGAAAAAAAAATCCAGACAATCACATTGGCTGATTTGGAAAGAATTTATTTGCAAATTATGGTGGAAAATAAGTATTTGGTCAATATCAAAAGTTCATCTCAATACTTTGTTATATATCCTTTGTTGGCAATGACAGGTCAAACATTTCCTGTAAGTCTTCACAAGGTTGGCACACACTGTTGCTGGTATGTCGGCCCATTCCTCCATGCAGATCTCCTCTAGAGCAGTGATGTGTTGGGGCTGTCGCTGGGCAACACGGACTTTCAACTCCCTCCAAAGGTTTTCTATGGGGTTGAGATCTGGAGACTGGCTAGGCCACTCCAGGACCTTGAAATGCTTCTTACGAAGCCACTCCTTTGTTGCCCGGGCGGTATGTTTGGGATCATTGTCATGTTGGAAGACCCAGCCACGTTTCATCCTCAATACCCTTGCTGATGGAAGGAGGTTTGCACTCAAAATCTCACGATACATGGCCCCATTCATTCTGTCCTGTACATGGATCAGTTGTCCTGGTCCCTTTGCGGAGAAACCGCCCCAAAGCATGATGTTGCCACCCCCATGCTTCACAGTAGGTATGGTATTCTTTGGATGCAACTCGGCATTCTCTCTCCTCCAAACAGGACGAGTTGTGTTTCTACCAACAGTTCTATTTTGGTTTCATCTGACCATATGACATTCTCCCAATCCTCTTCTGGATCATCCAAATGCTCTCTAGCAAACTACAGACGGGCCCGGACATGTACTGGCTTAAGCAGGGGGACACGTCTGGCACTGCAGGATCTGAGTCCCTGGCGGCGTAGTGTATTACTGATGGTATCCTTTGTTACGTTGGTCCCAGCTCTCTGCAGATCATTCACTAGTTCCCCCCCCCATGTGGTCCTGGGATTTTTGCTCACCTTTCTTGTGATCATTTTGACCCCACGGGGTGAGATCTTGCGTGGAGCCCTAGATTGAGGGAGATTATCAGTGGTCTTGTATGTCTTCCTTTTTCTAATTATTGCTCCCACAGTTGATTTGTTCATACCAAGCTGCTTGCCTATTGCAGATTCAGTCTTCCCAGCCTGGTGCAGGTCTACAATTTTGTTTCTGGTGTCCTTCGACAGCTCTTTGGTCTTCACCATAGTGGAGTTTGGAGTGTGACTGTTTGAACTTGTTATCAGTATAAAAGACACCTGTCCACAACCTCAAACAGGTGCCATTGATACAGGTAATGAGTGCAGGACAGAGGAGCCTCTTAAAGTAGAAGCTACAGGTCTGTGAGAGCCAGAAATCTTGCTTGTTTGTAGGTGACCATATACTTTACACCATAATTTGCAAATAAATTCTTTCCAAATCAGCCAATGGGATTGTCTGGATTTTTTTTCTCATTTTGTCTCTCATAGTTGAGGTCTACCTATGATGCCAATTACAGGCCTCTCTCATCTTTTTAAGTGGGAGAACTTGCACAATTGGTGGCTGACTAAATACTTTTTTGCCCCACTGTAGTTGGTGACTTCTGTGCACTTAATTATGCGCTGACCCCGCTCTGTCATTTTACGTGGCCTATCACTTCATGGCTGAGTTGCTGTTGTTCCCAGTTGCTTCCACTTTGTTATAATACCGCTAACAGTTGACCGTGGAATATTTAGTAGCAAGGAAATTTCACAGATGGACTTATTGCACTGGTGACAACCGATCACGGTACCACGCTTGAATACACTGAGCTCCTGAGAGCGACCCATTCTTTCACAAATGTTTGTAGAAGCAGTCTGCATGCCTAGGTGCTCAGTTGTATACACCTGTGGCCATGGAGGTGATGGGAACACCTGAGTTCAGTGATTTGGAAGGGTGTCCCATAGTGTACTTCAGAGCCTACTTTCCAGACTACAGAGGTGTTGAGAAGAGGAGTTTCAAGAGGCAGAGTCAGTACAGGAATCGCTACTTTAAAGCAGCAAGGTACAATGGGATAGGATATGTGGTTCTTAAAAATCTAAAGTAAACCAAAGGAATGGGCAGAAGAGAAGCTGCAAAGCATAGAGGGAATCCATGAATTTGTAGAAGGAGATGGCTGGCAGGCATCACTAAAAACATGAAAGGCGATATTTGTGAATATGCTTATATTGGATTGTCAGCCGTCATTTCATATAGCTATTACAGTGCTGATGGAACAAAAGTGTATACTGTGATTCTACATCTTTGACAACTGAGAAATGTTAACATTTTCTTTAACTTTTCTTTTCTGCAGTTGCTCAGAACAGTGAAAAGCTTCAAGACAGCCCCTGTGTTTTTGTCCTTTCACCAAGACAAGTCGACCTGATAAAGAATTCAAGGTACTGGTAGTGTTTACGCAAAAACCTGTATCGATACTGAAATTCAAGATCTCCTGTAGCCCAGTGCTTGATAAAAGTTGTTGGTTTATTACAATGTGAGTGTAATAATCCCGCGAGCAACCAAAGAATAATAAAAATAAAAAATGCCAGTGTGAAAAAAACAACTTAAATTAAGTTGCTGGCACCCTTCGCACACTCATCAATGTGTCTTCAAAATCTGAAACAAGCATATCAGTGCAGCGCCTTCCTAATAATAAACACCTCTTTAACCTCCCTGGCGGTATGATCATGTCAGGAATTTTGTGCTGAAAGCGGTACCATTTTTTTGCATGGAAATATGTAGTTTTTAATTGTAGGCTGTAATTTTTAGGAATAACTCACTGAAATCTATCTGAAAAAGAGTCTATTAAACATTCCGGATATGATAAAACTTGAAACACGAAATCATAAATTATAATTTAATAAATAATCATAAAAAATAATAATATAATAATAATACATTTAATTCAATAATATAATCAAACCAAAAACACTGAAATTTGAAAATAGGCAAATTCGCACATCGCTGAGCAAAGTCGCAAAATCGTTTTCAGTGTCTGATGACGAATTTCCCCCACAAATCATTATCACTCAATTCTGCAAGTGGTTCTGATTTACTATCGCTGTTCTAAAACCGCTTTTGACGTAAAGGGACGCTTTTTTGGCCACCATGGACTTTTCTAAGTTTCCAGGCAGAAAGAACAGTCAAAATGCAGGCAGGGCACAGGACAAAGCAGTAGGGACAAAATGTATGTGAAATGCAGTGAAAAAGCAATGACAGCAAAAATGTCATTTTTTTAAAAATTTCAAATTTCCCGCTGGTTCCGCCGCCCGAACGTTCCGACGTCACGGGGACCGGAACACGGAAGCCAGATGCCGGCATCCGCCGGAGGAGATGGACGGGGACGCTGCAGGGGACCCATCGTGGGAGCGAAGGACAAGGTAAGTGCTGCAGGGACCCCCAGAGAACGCTGCATAGTAAGCCCGAGTGTAGCTCGGGGTTACCGTTCTTGGTATAGAAATTCTACCCCGAGCTACACTCGGGAAAACCGCCAAGGAGGTTAAAATCCTGATTGCAAACCTAAATGTTCATATATATCCAAAAATTACAAAAGAGGGGAACACCCATATAAAAAAAAATATAAAGTCCCATATATCTTGATACACCTTCATTCTGTGGCCACTTCACATCTTCATAAAGCATAAACCAGTGTTCCTCCACCAACACTCAGATTGTGCTCACTTGAAGCTTTTTGACCTCACAATATATAATGCTTTGGTCACACCACGCTTGTGTCCTCTCAATGGGACTAATGGAATGAGGATTCCCCTGGTGATCTTCCTTCTGCAGCAAACTTAAAATTAGACAAAAATGCCACTCACAAGTTTTTGGTGCTAGATCGCACCAGATATAAATCGCATAACAGCAATACACTTTCCTCCAGTATCCTTCCTCTGATCTCGCATTGCGTCGTGAAGTCAGCTAGCCCCTACCCTATGCATTACGCCACAGGTCACATGGCTTCCTCAGAGAGATATGTCGCTGTGTCACTCTGCACTAGTCTTATATACTCTATTACCCACGGCCATTTTACCAGAGTTTGCGTTCCAGGATAAACTTAACCACAGGAACCATATTCTTATAGATCACTTTACTCCTTGATATTATTCATCCTAATGCCAATACCTCCCCAAATATCACTATTCTTTTGCAATTACTTTCCTAATAATAATGCAACTCTCATTGCTCAAAACTATAATATACAATATTTAAAATACTCCTAAAATATTAATAAAACAAGTTGATGAAAAGAAAATATGAAATCAAGATTTTAGAAAAATACATTAAATCAAAATCTGCATTCAACCTTTGGGTACAAGGGATTCTAACTAGTATATCTGCCAGGATTCTCTTGCTCAGTTCCCCAATACTATTGCCCCACCACCACCACCTTCCAATGCCTTTTTTATATTTTTCTATTCCCCAGAACTGTGAATCTTTAAAGTTTTATGTTTAATTCTAAAGTGGTTAGATTAAAAGTTGTGTTTTTTTTTTTTTCATATCCTATATGAATAATATAGATATGTTCCTTAACCGCTTTCTCGCCGCCCTTTAGCAGATAATCTGCTACAGGGTGGCAGGGGTGTGCAAAATCACGTGTGTGTACATACATGTGATTTTTGCATTTCTGGGTAGGGGGCACGTGCCCTACCTGTGCCGCCATTTGCGGCTGTCTATCACCGGGCCCCGGCCGGTGATTACTGAGCGTCTCCGACGGGGAGGACGACTGTTTTGTTTACTAACAGTTCTCCTCCCTGTCAGCTCGGACACACTGCTTTTGGATGGCTGTGCACAGCCATCCAAAGCAGTGTGCTTACAGTGAAACACACTGACATGGCCCCCTAGTAAAACACTCCCTGCCCACAGTTAACCCTTTGATCGCCCCTCATGTTAACCCCTTCCTGCCCAGTGCCATTAGTACAGTGTCAGCACTGATCACTATATTGGTGTCACTGGGGATGTCAGTGACACCAAGTCAGTTCCCCCCAGTGTCAGAATGTCCGCCGCAGTCCCGCTATAAGTTGATGATCGCTGCCATTAATAGTCTGAAAAAAAAAAATCCAGTATCTAGATCGCCATTTGTAAACGCTATAACTTTCACGTAGACCAATTAATTTACATGTATTGGGATGTGTTTTTTTTTTTTTTTTTTTTTTCTTTTTTGTTTTTTGTTTTGTTTTTTTTTTTTTTTAGTGAAGACATGTAGCAGAACACCTTTTGGCCTAAATTTATGACTAAATTTGATTTTTTTTTTTTTTTTTCTTTTTCTCAGGACATTTTTATCCACTTCTATACAGGGCACTTTTACCCCTTTCCTGCCCAGGCCAATCTTCAGGTTTCAGCGATGTCACACTTTGTCAATTGCGCGGTCATACAACACTATACCCAAGTTAAAATTTTTTTTATAATTTTCTTCACACAATTAGAGCTTTCTTTTGGTGGTATTTAATCACCACTGGGGTTTTTATTGTTTGCTAAATTGGCTAAATAAGACCGAAAAATTTTGAAAAAAAACCCCACGTTTTTTCTTTCTGTTTATAAAAATTTGCAAATAAATCATAAATTTAGGCCAAGATGTATTCTGCTATATTTCTTTGGTGAAAATAGCCCAAATTAGTATTTATTTAGCCTGTAGCAAAGTTTATAGCATTCACAAACTATATTATATATCTGAAAATTTACTGATCCTGAAGTACTGACAGCCAATCTAATCTCTTGAGGTCCAAGAATGTCAGAACAGTACAGATCCCCCAAATAACCCCTTTTTGCAAAGTAGACAGTCTGACGTACTTCATAACAGGCATGGTGAGTTTTTTCAAGTTGTAATTTTTGTCATTTTTTGGAAAATTAAATTAAAAAGATTCACTTTTTTTTTTATTTTATTTTACATACTGTCACCAGTGCAGTACAGCATCATCATATAACTGGGATGGCGGTGATTAGGGACACTGACTGGTGACAGTATGGAAACATTTTTTTATTTTTTTGTCTTTTAAGATTTTTTTTTTTTTTTTTTCTTATTGCACTATGACCAAAGTAGTATGTTACCATAGTAACATTGTACTACTTTGGTAAAGTGATCAGTATTTATGTATTCATTTTTTTTTTTTTTTTTTTTCACACAATTTGCTTATAGCAAAGAATTACTTTGCTATAAGCAAGCATTTACCTGAATGAATTTGATTCATTCAGGGTTTTTTTTTTTTTTGGTTTTTTTTTTTTGCGATTTAGCTGTGATATGGCAATGGCTAATCACATGACACAGCTGGGCTGTGATTGGCCCAGCTTGTGCATGTGATCGCTGTGACCATTCACAGCTAGACACTTATATACAATGGATGGCATGAAAGGAAGCCATTCATTGTATAAAATGGTCATGTGACCTGCTGTGATTGGTCACGGCAGGTCACATGGTACTGGCAACGGGGGCCGGTACACAGATCTGTCATCGGCCGTGTCCGTGGTATACGACCGTTGACAGATCTCGCCACAGCACGTTCCTGCGGGCATGTGCAATGCGCGTTCCGAAAAGGACACCACATGGTGTCCACCCGGAGGGACAAGCTTTTCGCTCGGCCACCATCTTGCTATAGACCGGGCAGCAACTGGTCAATTTCAAAAAGTCAATCCCCCCCCCCCCCCCCCCCCCAAATTGTCGTGTGTTTTTTTTGTTTTTTTTTAATAGCGCAAAAAATAAGAAAAAAAACCCGCACAGGCAAACAAATACCACCAAAAGAAAGCTCAATTCATGGGGAAAAAAAGTTGCATGACCGCAAATTGTCAGTTAAAGTAACGCAGCGCCCTAACACAAAAAAATGGCTTGGTCAGGAAGGGGGTAAATCCTCAGGAGGGCGAGTGGTTAATACGATCTTTTAATGCTGTTTTCGTTCTCCCCATATAAATGTCTTTACAGGGGCATGTCAATGCATAGACTCCTCCTTTAGTATGACACAATATAAAGTTATTAATATTCTTTCCTGTCGAGGGATTAGTAAAGGATTTCCATCTCGTTATATTGTGCTCTTGCACAACTAATAGCAATTCCCACAGGTAAAAAAAAAAAAAAAAAAACTTTTTTGCTTCTTTTGATTCACTCTACTTGTTTATACTGTGCGTTGTAATTCAACACGACTGCTAGTCCCATGTTGGTATCCACGTTATCCTTGGGTAGGAATATGGATAGGGAAACACTTGTCTATCCTGTTCTAGTTCTTTCCTATCATAGCCCTTCTGTATAAACATGTTTACTAATTTATTAGTCTGGAATTCAAAATCTTCTTTACCAGTACTGTTACTTCTTATCCTCATAAATTGTCCCTTCGGGACATTTACTAACCCTGGTTTATAATGACAGCTACTCCTTGGGATATACGAATTCCTAGGGATATACAAGTACCTT